CCCGCGTCCCTCGTGTTCGGTCGTGCCCAGCAGCGCGCCAACACTCCCAGTGACCCTCGGCTGTGCCCAGTAGCACCCGAGTGGCACCAGTCGTGCCCGTGCTCGCGCCAGCAGCGCACCAGAGCACCCAGCCACCCTTAGTCGTGCCCAGCAACACCTAGTGGCACCAGTCGTGCCAGGGCCCGTGCCAGCCGCACCGCCCGCACCCAGCAGCGCCTAGCACTGAGGCCGGTCGCACCCAGCTCGTGCCTAGTGCCGTGCCAGGGCCCCAGCCGGCCCAGCATGGGACCGAGCCTGACCAGTCCATGCAGCCCGTGACCACCCGGTCCAGAGTGAACCGGCGGTCCGACCCGGTCCGGTTCAGCCTGACCCGGTTCAGTTAGTGAGCGAACCGACCGGTTTAGCCGGCGGTTCGAGTCAGTTTTGGTTCGTGATTTTCGGTCCAAGTCTTATTCCAAAATTTAAGTAATTTTTCGAGCCAAACCAGATCAGTTAAGCGTATCAGTCAAATTTCCAGACTTAGAATTATTTTAGTGAACCCATAGAGCGTTCCTTTCTATCCGGATGAGTAATCTGATAGAGTAGAGCATCCTAGCATATTATTGAGCATATGACGAGCATAGTACTTAGTATATTTGTTTGCTTATATTTTTATGTAGCTTGAGGAGTCAGCTACCAGCACAGCCGCACTTAACTATTTTCAAAGCAGATCAGGTGGGGACCCAGTCTGGGTTATACATTGAGTATAATAGTCGATATCATGTTCAGGTATGTGTGTGAGTTTTATCCGCTTGGGGTTAAGGTCGAGTTGTCCTTCCCTAAGTTCTGGTGGTGGCCCAGTTCGCCTTAAATATACCATCAGAGTGTGCACATGGTACCGGCCAGAGTGTCCGGAAGATTACAGTTACCGGCCAGAGTGTCCGGGAGATTTCAGTTTACTTACGCATACCAGTACTGTGATATCATTATTATTATTGATGTTTACTTTAGAATGGGTTTTTATGGAGTACAAGTGGACCGTACTCACCCCCACTTTATATTTTCAGATGGCAGGGTCGGCGGGCAGGCGTAAGTCCAGCTGTGGTGGTTGTGGTCGTGGAGATGGCACAGCGAGCCATTCCAGGGACATTTGTTATCACATTTTGTATAACTATTAAAACCACGCATTTTGAGACTTCCACTATGCTTGCTTTTATTTCGAACTTGCATGACAGTACTTTCAGACATAAATAATTTATCCAATTCGCCAGTACGAACGGGACCAGGTAAAATGCAAGATTCGATAAAAGATTTAAATATGATTTTCTTAAAGTCTAAACCAGCTGATAGACCTAGTTAAGGAAAACGGATTTCCAAAGCAAATAAGTTTTTAGCAGCACCCCGAGATAAGTTTGCAAACGATTTCGAAAAATTTATATGCGTTTCCGAAGGTAGAATTTGCGAAAAATTGGCCCTAAGTAGCGGGGTGTTGCATTGGCTCCCCTATTGCCCAAGTAAAGTGAGGTCGACTCGACCTCTTAGTCATCTACACTTAGGTTGAAATACTGGCAGCCCGCACACGGCTATGCGTGGCCGAGTTGTGTCGTCCGCGATGGTCCGGGGTCCGACTGGTCGTTGAGGTTGGTGGTCTCGTTTATCTCCCAGTCGCCATAATCGTCAGGATTCGTCCACAGTCAACATGATCAAATACATATTGCAACAATTTACCTATATTGATCCTAGACCCACGAATGGGCTGACATGCAAATCTACGAAAACAGTAATGTATCTAGTGTCCCACCGGGCGAATAAACTAATACAATCATTCACAGCCCAAAACTCCTCAACATGTCAGAGGCTTTAAAAACTTGCAATATAGCAGACATTTAAGGCCATAACAGTGGAAACAATAATCTTGCTAAACCGAGTTAAGCAAGATAATCCTCAAATATGATTGCGCTCGTACACACGTAATTCACATAAACCTCAAAGGTCCTAACTTTGCACAAAATCGAATTAAACCAAGTGATCTAATACTATTTGTTGGGACTTGATGAGGAACGTCGAATTCATTCAAATGACATACTATCTACGAATTTATCCCTAAAGGCAGTGGAACTAGAAGCGAGGGTTCAACGAGTACTGTTTAAAATTTTTATCGACTCTGAGATGTTTCTGATTTATGTTGATGGAGATCGTCTAAATCGCTAATCGGTGTTCGTCGCGTCTCTCGATGTTCGAGTCACGTCTCGCATCGCCTTGGGCTCAGCACCATGTTTGATTGCTGATCGGCATCACCGGAGGATCGCTGGAAAGTCATCAGACCAATGGTGGTCGCTGGTGCACGAGACTGTGCGACTGTGCCCACTGGTGCATGATGTTGTCGGGTCTTCCCAGGTCTCTGCGGGTCTCACGTGCGGTAGTGCCTTTCTACTTCGCAGACGATGGGCATCGCGCCGGTCACGCTGGAACGCCTGCGGGTCGTGCGAGGAATTCACAATGGTGCGTGGCTGGTCCTGTCAAGGTCGCCGGTGGTGGCCAGACTTCCAAGAACTTCGTCGATCGTCGTCAGATGATCGTCGACGGCTACGGGGATGAAAATATATATATATATTATGGGGTTGAAAATGTATATTTATCCACCTCGGTTTACCTCGGATCTTCTATTGTATGACCCAACAACTTCTCCGTCTGTCTTTGTGGGCAACAATCTCGGAGATATCTCTACTAGCATTCCTAGGATGAAGAGAAAAACCTGATGGGGCGGCTACCACACGTGAATATGCATGTATCACTCTTCCATACCTAATCCCAGGAGATGTGTATATTTATAAGCTACAACAGACCCTAAATATATGGGTTTCCCGAACTTGGGCTTAACTGTGGGCCAAGCCCACTCTGCTTAAATTTGAATAATATCTCAGTCCACTAAAGAAATATTATTGCATTCCCCATTTAGCGCCAAAATTATAGTTGAGACTCCAATAATAATTACCCGATTTATCTCCCCGTATTTAAGATATAATGTCTATCAATTATTTTAATTACTAGCAATATAATTAATTGATCTCTTAAACCGAATGTACCACTCAAATCTTTATTATTATGTCAGAGTAAATTCCACTGGTCAGGTTTAACATAATAATCTTTCATGAGCTCATCTCAGGGACATCATCAAACTATCGCACACGGTGACCATAAATATTCAAACAGCACACCATACACACAGCACTACTACCCAAAACACGAAGACTATTGACCCAGCAAAATGGATCTCGCTTTTGGTAAATCAAAATAGCAACTACTGCATGCACGTGCATGTTTATATCTTACGGGTTAATAATAAACAGTAATTAACTAAAGCCTAGTTCGTTTACAACGAGCAGTATAAAACGAACTGCTCATCACTGGAATCCTTTCAATGTACACTTCAGTCAAGACAAACTGTACAATTAACACTACAACCTTTCACAATGGACTGTTCATTTCTATCTAGGTTGTGAACCAAACATTCATGTTTTACAAGTAACCGATATGTGATCTCCTGTCTCATCTGTGATGGACCACAATAACTAAATGTAAAACATTAGAATGTAGACTATTTAATTAAACGTAATTCTCATTCAAACAGAATTAGTGTTAACAAAAACCCAAGTTTTCAATATACACACCAACAGAAAATCACTCTCAAATATACATAAAAATAATGTATGTATTATCATCAAGTTGACCAACTGTAGTAAGGTGTGAAAACAATTTGAAGAAAGGAAAACAAGCTCAAGAAAAAGAGTAGTTTCATATAGCATACTAACTGTAATGGCAACCAAAACTGGTCATGCTACATACAATATGGTAACACCGGCATTTGCCCTTTTGCTTTCGCTTTTCAGATTTTGCTAGCTACACAATCAAGAAAAATGCACATAACATTACACACAACAATGTGGTTTTCTTATGCAAGAACCCAAAATCTGAGCCGTATCCACCACAAACGATGTTTAAATGGAAAATTGGCCCAAGCCTTTCCATTGTGCAACTTAAAATTATGTCTGTCTTTCTATGAATACGGTCAAGAACTTCCGTATTATGATCAATTGCCAATGATCAGCTAACATTGTAAGTGGGTATGAATCCTTTCTTGGCATGCTGGCTCTCCATTTCAAGGGTCATCAGTGACTTCTGCCGTTGATACCGATTTCTCTTTGAAGCAAGAGCTGTTCAGAACATTCAGCAGGTCATTTTTTTTCTTTTTCTTATTTGTATGCCTTCTAACAATAAGCATAGAGACATTAAATAAACTTGTGTTTGGAAAAAAAAAAGTGTGCTTACATATTATACTTTGTTGTAGTTTGTTTCGGTTATAAATTGACGCATAATTTAGTATCTTCTAATTGTATAATATTTAACACTTCTAGGGTCAATTAAGCTCAAAATGTATGGACCCATAATATAACCAATATATAAAGTTCGTGCTTGACTCTTTTAAAAAAATATGTTAAGCTCAAATTCCCCAAAGTTCGACTAGGTTTCATCAAAACCTTTTCGCAGTCGATCAAACTAAAAGTAGCTTTTATAGTGATCTCCTAGTTCCTTTTATTCCAATAAACGCATGTGAATTTTGCAATCAATTAACAGTTATATGAAGATGAACTCACACTTTCCAATAGAAAGATTAAATGAACTTACACAGCAATTCATGAGGGAAGCTAAAGTCATAATCATTACGGTGCCTCCAGACAACGAAATAGTATACTCCGACGGCCACTACAGAAATAATAACGAGACAAGACAGGGCTATCGCCACTTTGCCGCCAGTGGATAAGCCTTCTTTGCCCCAAAGCACAGAACAATCGGGCAAAGAAGGAACGCCGCACAATCTTTTGTTACCCTCAAGGCTGCAAGAAAATATCTCGTGCATTAAGGTCGAGAAAAATGTGGCAAAGAAAATAGCACTTTACTTGAAATATATATATATATATATATATATATATATTATTCAGCTCTGTTTAAGTGGCTCGAACTTGTGCGAGTAGGACTGCCTCCTAAATTTTGGCCAAAAACAAAAGAACTTGTCTTCCTATAATCGTAAAACTCCTTACATTTGTTTTTGTCTTGAAGAGGCGTATCCTCAAGAATGACATTTTAGTTATGAAGCTCAAAGGGCTGTAATTTTAACAGACAGGAAGGATGTCATTTAATTAGAATAAATCTCAGGGACAGTTTGGAGTAATTATCTATTTTATTCATCAAATAAGTCGGTGGTTCAGTTTATTTATTTTTTTCTGCTTGTAAATACATAAGTCATAACAATGGCTATTTATTATATGGGAAATTAAGCGTGTTAGGCCAATAAACACATTGGGCCACTTTTGCAATTAGAGTCGTGAGTTGAGAACAAACAAAATTTGTAGCACATTAATCAAATGGCGAAAAAAGTCAGGTAGATGTATCATGACATACTCTATAGCACCACCGTGAACACCAATTGAGTAAAGTTCCTCGGGGACTCGCCCTTCCAGTAAGTTGTCATTCAGAAACCTGAGCAAAAGCAACATGAAACTGTGAAGAGTATTGTATTTCGAACCTCCATGTTCATGAATAATATGTTTATGCCCGTGATAATGTCCCTGACTTAGAATAAAAACTTATCTCATTAAGAATCTGTTTTTCGACTAAAGACAACACTTAAATTGATTAAAAATGGATAAGTAACAACAAATTTTTGGCATGCTTTGGGGGGCTAACTCTGCGTTGCAAACAAAATAAACCCATCACGTTCAACCAGATTTAAAAGAAGAAAGGCAAAAAAGGAAACACACACATGCACACATCCAGAGACAACCATCTTCAGAACCACTTGTGTGTCTATTCAGTCTCTTGACAATAAGAGGATGATTTGTTTAACAAATGAAGGGTACATGTGATTTGAAAGATAATTTATTGTATACTCTGGTTTCATCTTGACTTATGTCCTTTTAATGCACACAATGTTCATCTAAAACAAACATAAAAGCTAAATTCTTACATAATCTGCAAGCTCGACTTAGTTAGAGTATCTGGTATGTACCCAGTAAACTTGTTCTTTGATAAATCCCTGCATGAGTAAAATGAAAATAAATTAAATTGATGTTACAACATAATGCAGCTTCAATAATTGGACCCATTTGCTTATAATATTCATCAGGGTTTAGGACTCTATTTAAGTAGATCAGCATTTGACACCTAGGATATCTTTTGTTGAATAGAATTGTCGGCTTTCCAGAAGGATCGGCTTTCAAGTTATTTTTTTAAATAGTAATATCGATTAATACTTCTCTGCACACAATATGGCACAAGTTCACTAAGCAAGCAAAGTTTCAGGAGCTATTTTATTTTTCAAGATCAAATCTCATGGCAAAGGGTCTTTGAGAGTTCATGATGAACCTACATCTCTCTTGATGAGTTCATGCGACAGAAATTCAGATTCAGCCACAATAATTTCCTGTAAAGATTTGCTATGTATTTTGAATATGGTGCAGGAGTATTGTTAGAGATCCACTGTTATTTTGTTTATATTAATAATTGGACTTTTGAGCCATTTTCTTATAATATTCATTGGGGTTATGACTCTATTTAAGTAGACTAGCATTTGATAACTAGGATACCTTCTGTTGAATGGAATTGTTGGCTTTAAGCTTCGGTGGGAAGTTTCCTCCCCAAAGTATTGCCTTAGGCTAAAGTGGGATTGGTCCCTGATTTGGTTTTTAGTTATTTTCTTAATTAATAATATCGATTAATATTATCGTTTGCTTTCACCTTTATCTATGTCAGAATATGATACAAGTTCACCAACTTCTTGAACGCCAAACAAAATGTTTTAAATAACGGAAATGTATATGTGAACTTACAGCTTTACAAGAGATTTTTGACCTAACCCTGGGGGTATATTTCCTTCCAAAGAATTAGAACTCAAATTCCTGCACATCAAAAGATCCTAAAAGATTGTTCATCTAATCCAGAAGAATAAAATTAAATAAATTTATGTAATGGTAATTACCAAAACTCCCACAACCTGAAGTTTAAGATACTAAGGAAAACTTAAAAGAAGTTTCAAAAAAAAAAAATCAAAAACAAAAACAAAGAACAAAAAACAAAATAAGGGGATAATAAAAAATAAAATATAACACTTGGACTTTTGCTATTTTCTAAACTTAGGAGATTATTTGAATATGCCTAGTAACGTAATCAGGGAATTTGAATAACTGTACTCCTAAGAAGCAGAAACCTGTAATACAAAATCCCAAGGTGTCTCAAAGTTTGAAACTTGTTGAGTTTTCAAAAATTATCACAAAGGAGGGCGATGGATAGTGTAATTATCAAATGAATTTACAACACTGCAGAAGAAATGTTGTCACTGAAAAGAAACCACAATACACTTTTTAATAGAACTGCTACTTTTCTGCCAATGTTCAGTAACCAGTACCGTCCATCTCGTGCAGCAAATACGTTATATACATCAGTAAGTACAAGAAACACAATACATAAAATAAAGAAACAAATAATATAATAATACGAGATACTTACAAGCTTACCAAATTCGTCAAGAGGCCAATCTTTTCGCTGATGTGGCCTTTCAGTCCTTGGCTCCCAAGATCACTAAAAATAAAACGTCACTGAAGTACTAGGCATATAATATATAGGTATTGAGAGTAAGTAATTGATGATTTAAGGAAGAAAGATACTCACATTTGGGAGACAACAAGGGTAGATCCGTCTTTCGAGGCATGACAAGTAACACCCTCCCAAGCATCCCAAGTTGCAGGAGCACATGGATCCCCGTTCCAACCCATTCTATCTGGCACACGAAGTGATTCCTTCAATGCTTTCATAGCAGCAACTGCAAAACAGAACCATCGTCCAAATTATGAAAAACAGATTTGCCTGTATTAAAATGTATGATAGTTGCAGTTTTTAAACTTTTCTAAGCAATTTCACAATGAGTACCAAAAGGCAAATGCAATTTCTATCTCCCATAACAAATGCAAAAAGCCCCAACATATGATGCTGAAATAAATGAAAAGACAAAAATGTCATCAGTTTCAAAAGACAAGGAGATGCATAAGGGTTAAGCATTCCCATAAACTTATTTATTTTCCAAGAAAAAAGGGGAGGTTATTCGTGATGACATAAGCTAGAAAAAATACTTGATAATCCTGCTAAAAGTAGAGTAAGTTCAAATAAAAGTGTAACTAGTGAATAAAGCCAAAGCAAAAGAATATGCACAAGTAGATAACCTAAGCACCTCTGTCTCAACTTTTAGGTTCTTGTGGATATGCAAAACCAGAAGCTGGCACTCGGAAACATAACATCTATTCTCAAGTAGCATACTGGGGAAATATAATCAGCCAGCATTGAGATTATCTATAGTAGGCCTTAGAGGATAGATATTGATGCAAGCAAATAGGTAGTCTTTATTTTCAATCATAATCATAGCATAAACCAACTCCCATTTTTAAAAAAAGAAAACATATTGCCTCCAATCTAGCATTTTCCCTCATCAACTAAACCATAAACACAAACACATTATTCCTCAATACCTCTCTCCTAAACCAACCAATCACAAACTAAACAGAATACAAATTTTAGTCTTCTGATTTCAAACACATACCCTGATCAGGTGCAGTCTCAACATCAACGGGCACAATCGCGTAATTCTCAAGCCCACAAATCACCGGCGATCCAACCACCGATTGCAGCTTCACGTTCAAAACCGTGTTGCTTAGATTCTTCACCACATAGCTCCAATCGTATGCGGCAAATGCACCGACCTTATCGTACACATCCACCCGATTCACATTCTCTTCATTTACCAACACATCAAACACCCTCTGCCCGGCCCTAGTCACGCTACCATCAATCTCTGCAAAATGGAAATACAGCAAATAATCCAATCTAGCGTCCACCTGCAATTCGTACTCCAAAACACCACCACTCTCATTTCCAGCCGGAGTAGATGCAGTCCGGTAAAGCTTCTCGGGAAAGTAATTTGGGCTCAATTCAACTCTGGAGATAGGTTTCAATGCTGAAATTGATCTGACTGTTGGCCCATCCGGAAATGAATCAGCATCGGCACGGAATAGGGTTTCTGACTGCCAAGAACGGCCGAAAACGTCAGTGTCGTTTGTAAATCCAGGGCCCCACTGCTCTGTCGCGGATGAAAATCGGCCGTAGTTGATTAAAATGTAATCAGAGGAGTTCTTGCTGGCGTAGGGCAAAGGATAGGCGTAGGGGTCAATTTGGGTCAACTCCAAGGACCCGATTACAGGGGAATCGGTGCCGAAGCTGTAGAAGCAGACGTCGATGGCGGATTCGTTGTTGTGGAAGATGAGATCCGAATAGGCGCCGTAGCGAGATGTGGATTCGAGCCAGGGGTATCTCCATGAGAAGACGACGGTGCCTCCGACGGCGACGTCGAAGGACGGGGAGTGCGACTTGCCGTCGTAGTTGTCGTAGGCGGTGAAGGTGCGGAGGAGGTAGCGGCCGCCGCCGGCGGGGACGGGAACGGAGTAGCAGTTCTTCTTTCCGAAGGAGACGGGGAAGTAGCGAAGGGTCTTCTCCTGCTGGTGGCGGAAGATGAGGGGCTCGGAGACGACGGAGGCGGCGCCGCCGGTGAAGTAGCGGTCGGCGAGCCAGGACGTGCGGAAGGCGTCTGAGGTGTTCACTAGGCCGCCGCAGTCAATGTGCAGGCTGTAATCTGCAAGAACAAAAAAAAGGAAGAAGAAGAGAAGAAAGAGTTACGTTTTAGGCGGTTAGGTAAAGTGAAAAATGGGAAATTAGTGTAGATTACAAGTTAATCGAGACATACTAAAGGGAGTGGGGAAAGAGAGGGCGACAGGGAAGAGAGAGAGGAGGAGGAGAGGGAGGACGGCCATGATACGAGGTGGCGCGGTCTGGTAATGTTTGTTGTTTGGGACATAAGAAGCTCTCTCTGTGTGTCTGTGAGAGAGAGAGAGAGAGGGGTGAAGGCGTGATTAGCGGAAAACAGAAGTAAACGGAATGATTATAGATGACAGTACAGAAATTCTGTCTTCAGAGATTTTGGGGAAAAGCAAACGTAGAATAAGGTGTTAATTTCAATTAATTTATAATTACTGTTTTAAGATCTTTGACTAATTACCGCGTGGGAGGTGTGTCGTCAATGTGATCCATAAAATTTGTCTTTTCTTTTCTTTTTAGGAATTTAGTTAAGTTTAGAGAACTAAAAAAATACTATATACTAATAATGATTGCATTTAATTCTGAGATTGACTTCGATTTATGGCATACATTTAAGTTTTTGCTTCAGAAAAATTAAAACTCACTAAATAAAATCAAATTTTGAGGAGTAAAAAAAAAAGCTCAATTTATTCTTCCAAGTTTGTATGAGTATAACGAAAATGCATCTGTTTTTTTTTTTTAAGGAAAACTAGTACGGTACCCGTGCGATGCACGAGAGTATTTATTATCTATTTATTTTTTAAAAAGTATTTTGTATTTAAATTGTCTTTTGCCATTAAAAATTTATGAAAATGAAATTTATATGTTATTAAATATTTTCTTATATACAACATTATTGATTTGATTTTTTGGCACGTAAAGTAAAATAGGTGTTCGAATTTATCCAAAATTGCATATTATTGGTTAACAAATTTGAAAAGAAAAAATAAAGGATCTTATTTATTAAACAAAATTGAAGTAGAAAAAAAAAAGTTGAATTTTTTAGGGATTTTTACTCATTATTTATTTTAAATTTAATTCTAAATTTCAAATTAAGAAAAATTGAAAAGGATCACTAGTTACTCCTGAAAATGAAACCGGTTTTTCTACCAATAAACAGATTTTTTTTATCAAGCAAATTGATCCGAATTTTTTTTAAACCAAATAAAAAGTCATCAATTTTTCCTAAAAATGCAACCGAATTTTCCTAACATTGCACCGATTTTTGTACCATACAAATTGAATTGAAAATAATTCTAATAAAAAAGTGAAATAAATTGTTAGTGTTTATGCAACTGTCTCTTTCCTAAACAAAATGATATGAACGTAACCAAAAAAAAAAGATATGAACTTACCAAAATCTCGGTAAAATATAGTTAAAAAAAACATAAGAATCCAAAAAAATCGATGCATTTAAATTTTAAAAAGTTGCACATAATTTTTATAAATAATTGGATAAGGTGACTTTAAATATCAATGATGAACCGCTTTTGTTACCAAAAAATGCGGACACAATTTTGAATATACATCCCGTCCAAATATTAGTTTTATTTTAAAATAAAAATTGCACGTGGCTTTATTCAATTACACAATTTTTTTGAAAGAAAAAATTATTCAATAAGGTTGAAAGAATTGGTTAAGAATTATACAACTATTTGCTTCCTAAATTTATCTCCAATTTGCACGGTTTTTAAATTAATTTGTATTTAGAATTGTTTTCATAAATAATTGACACATTGTTTGCATAAGAATCTCCAAATTTGTTACCAAAATAGATATGATTTAAATTTTGCTAAAAAAATTAATTTATGATACGAAAAAATGGGATTCAAATTTGGTCATAAGAATCTCCAAATTTGTTACCAAGAAAATAGGATTTAGTTTTTTTTACTAAAGTTCACATGTATTTTTTTGAACTTTCCATTAATAGTAAGTCAAACATTATATTTATTTGGTCAAACTTTCTATTAATGTATTTTTCCAACAAACTCTTTATATATATATAGATATAGATATAGATATAGATATAGATATAGATATAGATGCCTCTGCTTTTTTTTTCCTTTTTAAGATAAAAAAGGTCCAATTCAGTTTGACATTTAAAATTATTCAAAAACTCTTGTACATAAATAATAAAAGGCAAAATAAGATTTTATTATTATATTTAAAAATATTTCAATATATATATTAGAAGATGGACGGTGTTCATTGTCACAATCAACATCATTAATAATAATCATTAAACAATAAAAATTTGTGATTCTAAAAACAACGAGTATTCGATCTTGTGTAAATGAACATATGTTTAAATTATTATAAGTTATATGTATGTATATAATATTAAAATTATAAGTTAGATAATATATAGTAGCACATTTTAAAATTTTGCCATTTATTCAACTTCATCACTATATTTCTTGCATAAAATGAATAGATAATATAGTTTTTATAAATTTTAGGGATCATGATCTATTAATTATCTTAAAAAGCATTATTATTACTATTATTATTATTATTATTATTATTATTATTATTTACGAAATTTTAAGAGGTTTGGTTATACCACTAAAGTTAATTAGCTTATTAAAAAAAATTAATAGCAATAAGATGTTTAAGAAAAAATTTTGCAATATAATTTTTTATACTTATTGAACTTCCATATATCATTTAGTATAAATTATAATTGGTTAGTTTTAGTAATAATTATTATATAATAGAATAATCAAAAATATAGTTACACTTCAATTAACCATTACGTTCAAAAATATCGTTGATTAAATTTAGTTACTGGTTTAAAAAATATTTGATTGTAACGAAAAAAGGCAAAAAATTCAAATAGTTTATTTGTTTTTTTATAATATTTTTCGTTATATATATATATATATTTTAGATATTTATTGATTAGTGAGTTATTTAAAGTTTTAATTAAAAAATAAATAAAAATAAAGTAAACATGTATTTGTAACATCTTTTGGAGAGTAATTAAATGAGGTTTTATTAATTGTTTTGCTAGCAATTATGTATACTAATATTAATCCTGTGCACATGCAAATATTACAAAAAATAAATAAATATTATATATAAAAAACTTAATTAAAATAAATATTTATATAATAGTATCTATCACATTTATTATTAAATTATTATATTAATGACTCTTAGTTGGATTTTTATACTTCAATGAAAAAGAACAATAATTTTTTTTTGTCATAATTAACCCCTTTAAAAAAGAGCGGGAAACGAAAAAATTAAGCATTAATGGGATAGCCTCTAGTTATATATATACTAGTTTTACCCCGTGCGTTTGCACAAAAAGTGATATAATAGAAGAGAAAATTAAAAATATAGAATAAAATAAATTACATAACTTAATAAATGAGAAAAAAATAATTTAAAAAAGTGAATCTAAATATTATTAAACACTTCTTTATATAAAACATTCATGGTTTTCCTATCGTCGGAATCCCCATTACACCAAATTAAACTTCTTTGACTCGTGACTCTGGGATTTTACTTTCAAAATATTTGATGTATCTTTGTAATGTCCGAAAAAATATTTTTTTTATTATTGTAGGGCTGCAATAGAAAATAGAGATATTTGTAGTCATTCTTAATTAATTGTGAAATATGTATTTATATAATGCCAAAAAAAATTTTGTATTCATGACATAAAATGGCGTTACAAAAAGGAGCACCAACCAAAATGGGACCTGTAAAAATAAATTGTGTAACTGAGAGTTACATATTATTGTTAAATTGTGAACATATTTTTATTAAATGAACATCTATTTTATTAAATGAACTCATATCTATCTATATATACTAGGGGGTAGTGCTGTGCAAGGCACAGCCGACCCAAGTTTATGTATTTATATGAAGCATGCAAAACATAACAGACAGAGTATTGGATGATCAAAAGATATTTGGACTATAGTAGTTAGTGACAATACACAAAAGCATAGTCATTAGCATAACACATTGAGTATTTTCATTTTACAGAATCCAAAAGCATCTATATTTATATAGATGCCTTTAATTCTGTAAAGGATTTGACCACCAAAATATCAGTTTTTAGCTAGGTTTTTCTAATCCTTCAAATTTCAAATTTGTACACAAAAGAAGCATCCATTCGTCATGTTTTTCTAGTTCAAAAGTCAAAAGTTTGAGGTGTTTAGCCAAAAGTCAAAAGGTGGAGGTGTCGAGGCTTCAATCCATCTTGGGTCGACTTTTCGTTGAAGGGCTGGCAGGTAGATCTACATGTGTTTCAGGATTGAACTGACTTGGTTTTCGCGAAGCTTGTTTTGATGGCGCGCAATTGTAATTGAGGAAGAGGCCGTTGGTTGACTTTCAAAGTTGATGCGTTTTTTAACAAGTGGTTCTGAACTTTCTATGCTTGGATCTTTCTCAATTTTCATGGAAACAGACTGGAGTACATTTTTGAGTGTTGGGGTGAAGAGTTGCTTTTCCACAACCTGCTTTATAAAATAGAAAAATTACAGTAGGTTATTGATTGAATAAGAATGTTAAGAAGTTTGAATGGAAATCGTAGTTTATTGCACCTGAGCTGATGAGGAATTGGTTGTTGGGGGGTTGGTCTTCAAGCATATTCTTCTCGGTGCTCATGTTGTCAGCGGTATAGAGCTTTAGAATTGTATGATAAGTAGACTCCGTATACTTAATGAAACAGACAACTCTGTGCTTTTTAATCAATGCTCCAATTTCACCTTTTAAGTCATGGCCCTGCACAACGAAAGTATATTGAGTACAGTCATTTTAAGTCAGTGTAAAGTTTATTTGAATCTTTTAGGTATACATAAAAGGAATGCAAATGTATAAGCACACTATGTGTTGTGAAGAAGACTTAAACATTTATTTTGTTGTTATTGTTTACATATATAAAAATATATGTGCGATTATTTTGTTTAATAATCAATATGTAATTTTATTAATAAGAATGCATGACATAAAGCAGGAAGTGAATATATTTAATAACTAATGTGTTCTACTAATGACTATAACCTATATATCACTTTTATCATTTCAGCGAGGAGTATACTAACATTTTTCTCTGCTTCATACAAATCATTCATGCTGAAATGGGATAATTCTCTCTGCATCAGTCCCATAGATCATTGCATATAAAGTTCCCGTTTCATCCTTAATTACCATTGGAATACGAAACCTATTATTTAAAAAAAAAAAATGTTTATTAAACATCATGTAAGATTATAGTGCTTTATTGTAATAATAGTATTTTAGTATTATGAGAACTGTGTACCTTGCTTCAACGTAAGTATCTGCCTGGCAGCTTCGACATTTCCTTGCCGTGTTTGGTTGCATATTGTAATTCTTACGGTAGTTGTTGCACGTGGCTGACCATAAAGATTTGTTGTCGCTTGCGAGCTTGATTTTTCCGCTGATCCAACAAGTCTTCGTCTGAAGCAGATATTGAGAATATATAGACTTAAGTCTTTATATTTTATCTTCAGCAACTAATAATTCAAGCATCTAACAATTCTAGCAGTTGGATAAGTATTTACATTTGATATACAACATTGCATAATTACCAAGTATAAATAATTGGATCGAACATGTTTTTTTTCATTAAGTTTAGTGGAAACGACAAAATTGAGAAAAAAAAATATTATCCAGTGATACTTTTCAATTGATTACATCGCTGGATTTAAAATGTATATACAATTTACAGAAAATTTGAGAACAAACAGTAAGAAAAATTTGTATTTTTTTCTTTACATCTCAATAGTGTGCTATTCTAAAAGAAATTATCTTGAAATAATTGACAGGATACAGAAGGAAATTTAATTTGCCTATTGCCAAGAATTACAATGCCACTAGTTTTACCTTAAAGAATTTAGGCATATATCAGAAACAGTAATTACTACACAAAAAGTCTGATTGGTATAACTGTAATCTACATTTTAGTTGTTTGATATAAACACAAGTATAGAATCCTTTCTTTACTGTAGTAGTTTCTTTAATGAGTGAGGTGACAATGTATAAAGCATTAGGAGAATGGAGTAAACATATTAAGTGCTGAAGGTAAATGCAATAACATGTATGCTTGACTTAATTGACCATTTGTATCGTTGGGATTTGAAATCTTACATATTTTGCGGGAGGCCACTGCCTCCTGCACAGTAATTATATCGGTGCTTTCAGGCCATGGGTATAAGCTTTGCAACATTGGCTTTGTTCTGAATATACCTGTAATGGAATTTTGTTTATATAAATAGATATACATGTAAATTTATAGTTTCATATGAGAATTAAGGTTAGAACATACCACTGTTTGAGATCGGCTGCGGCAACTATAGGTGGATTGACTATCAAGCAAGTCCCTACTTTAGTCGATAACGACTATCCTTGATTTCCAAGAAGTTGTTTTAAGTAAGTGTTGGTATTTAAGTAAATTGTATCTTTGACATTATTAATCTAAATCATATCGTGAAATGTGGTGACTCGGCTTCTCATAGCGAGGAGAATGTTAGTTGATGCAATTGTGTTAGCCAGTGTTGTACTGTGGTCTGTCTCGAGCTGATTCCGTAGTGTAAGAAGCATTGGTTTCATTCTGCAGAATAGACAAATAATGAGTTAAAGAATGATATACATGCATATATTTTGTTTGTGCTGGATTCAGTTAATTCTGATTCTCACTCTTCGTTGATAATGACCAGTTCGCGTGTTGTATTAGCACCAACAGTCTTTATTGGAAAAGCACGTACAACAACTGCAAGTAAGCTTGTGGATAGATTGCAAATTTTTAGGAATTGTCAGTATAATGTATTCAGAGATCTTTGTTTTTTTTTTTATTTGTTTTAAATGAAATTATATAAAATCTTACTTCTGGGATTCTCTGTGTCTGCATATTTGTGCAAATTTGCAAACAGATGAATTTCAATTGAGCACAGAAGTTGTGTGGGCAGGGGTTCTTCATATTCTTCAACATGGTACCTTTAACCAGAGTCCATTTGTACTTGTAATCACCAACCTGATACAGTGGTATCTCTGTACGTACTTTTGCTCTAGAAATGTAGTATCTTTTGTATGGCATGAGCAACTGTAGCGCAAATTCGTCGATGACAGTGTTGTAAACAACTGCAGCAACTTTTGTGCCCTGTTATGTAATGGTGATAATTTAGTAGCATCTAAACAAATCATTAGGTTAAATTAACAAAGTAAATATGTAGAGTAATTATGCACCTCTTCATATGTGAATAAGTATCTGCGATAATGCATCATTGAATCATTTTTGCTTTGGTGAACGGGTGGCCTCTCAACAACCTGGATAAGCGCGGTCCAGTTGTTGGTGTTTTCCGTAATTTCCTTAATCGGCAGATATATCCTCGACATTGTCACAAGTAGAAATTTGTAATAGAAGGTAGAGTTAGTTAGCAAAAATATATGGTATTTAGTACAAGTTAATTTGTGCAGAAATGAAATGTGTTTTTCAAATAAAATTAAAGTGCATCTAAGTACATTGTATTACTGAAGCTGCCTCTAAAACTTCATTGTAAACACGGGACAGGGGACTCAACAAATGTATAGATAAAAAGCCACAAGTTGGTTTATAGAAACAACAAAGGTTGAATATTTATAAAAATGTTGTGCATGAACCACCTTAATATTTAATTTTTATTTTCTTCTTTTTTAACAAACATTTAGTTTCTTTATACTCTGGCAAACTAAAAAACAAATATATTCGAGATATTGGTCATTCATGTATACATCAACCACTGCTTTAAAGATAAACAAATGAACCTACCGAATACCAAAAAAACAAACAAATAAGGGGAAGATATTTTATGCAAGTGTGTGTGAATTCATATGAAATGGTTTCAGATTAACTCAAACCATGGAATTTAGCATAAAATCTCAGTACTTTGCTCCAATTAATATACATCAGCCTTTGCTTTAAAAGATAAACACATAAACTTACCGAATAGCCAATACAACAAACAAATAAGGTGAGATATTGTATATGGTTGTGTATTAGTTTAGACCAAATGGTTTCAGATTTATACAAAGCCTGAAATGTTTTTGGGTAACCAATCCTCTAAAGTGCATTTATTTTGCTTTAATTGAAAACCTGAAATGTTAAACTAAACATCTTATAATCCTATGTCAATGAACACCATGAGACCCAAAAAACTAAGTACTTTTAACACAAACAATATATTTTAACTTTTGGTTTAAAAGCTCAACAAACAAATCTACCTAATGTTAATCTTATGTTACACAACACTATGAAACCCAAAAAACTTAGTAATTTGCATATAAACAATATGTATTGGCTTTCACTTTAGAAGTTCAATAAAGAGGCTCACCAAATAACCAGAAAAGAAAGAAATGAGGAGAAGATGATCTCTATAGTTGTGTTTTAGTTGAGATTAAATGGTTTGAGATTTACAGGAAACACAATGTTTTCTCGAGAAGCAAACCTGAAAAGTAGAGACGTTTTTCTTGATCTGAAAAGTAGAAATGAGAAAAAAAAATTCCTGAGAGTATTATATGTCAGACTTATCTGAATATATAATGTATAAAGAACAATTAGTGGAGACAACATCAAATCAATATGCATCTCTAGAAATTACTAATTGGCCAAACAATGCTATATGTATAGTGGGATAANATCCGAGCAACCACAGCAGCAAAATAAACCCACATGATAACTTTCATTGAACAGGAAAAAATATCTGATACTCTTATATTGCAGACAAATGTAAAACCTAACCAAAGAAAATTATAACCTCATGAAACAGAAAAAAAATAAAATAAAATATGAACAACAATAATGCACTTATCTTCTTCGTCGTTAAAGCCTTTTTCTAAGGCAGTAGAGACAATTCCATATGATAACCTCTAACATAAAGAGAAAATAGAATTAGAATAAGAAGCATAGTGTATGTAACATACAATTTCTTGCTTAATTAGAATAAAATCCCAACTAAAACAGCCTAAATGTACCTTATAGAGGCATCAAAACGAAGGCACACCCAATCTCTGATGCTGACGGGACGCCAATTTCATAGAGGCAAAACCAAATACAATCTCGAAGGCCTTTCGAAAAACATAAGCACTGATAGGGCAATTGGATCGACATAATCTCGAAGGCCTAATTGGATCGACATCTACATATGACGAAGAATCGGCAGAAAAGAAATTGAGGGGATGTGAGTAGAAGAAACTGAAAAAGTGGGCGGCTATGGGTTCTGAGCGCCCGTTAGGGCTTTTTTCTTTTCTGAAAACGGCGACGTATTGATGGTAACCGAGACGACGTCGTTTTGTGTCAAAAACGAGATCGTTTTATTTAAAGGCGACGTGGCCTCACAGAAATGCAGCGGACACGTGTCAGGAAAGGAAAGCTCGTGTTTTCTTTTTATAAATAAGTGTATAGATATATATATATAAGTGTGCTCAAATGAGAAAGGACCACAATGAAAGAAATAAGAATAAATATGGACCATTAAGTACATTACATGATCAAGTCAAATTTTAATAAATATTGATCAATCATTAATGACAATATAGTTAATAAGTATACGCATTGTGGTCAAATGTACATATTTCACCATACAATAAGGGTAAAACAGGTATTAACAAAATTACAACTCATCAATTCATAGTGGGCCCCACATACAACACAAGTTGAATTCACGAACGCGCATATGCAATTCTGCCAACACCGTCCTTCTTCCTCGGCCTCCCACCGTCGCCGCCACAGAATTCGGCCGCCACCACCACAGATTTCGTCCGCCGCCGCAGAATTCATCCGCCACCACCGTCCTGCATATACCAGCCTCTTACTCTCACGCACAAACAGCGACCGCCAAAGTCTAACCTGTTCACACCGACGTTCATCACTTGCCGGACGACGTAATACCCATCCCAACCTCCGCCGCAGCCGCTGGATGTCTCCAACACAATCTTCGTCGTTCCGGCCTTCAGAGCCGGCGGGAATCAGAATCCCCATGGCCGATTCCCCAAACTTGAATATGGCGGGCGGCGGGACGGAATCGTCGATTATAGAGCTTGAGCACGGCTTCAACCACGTCTGGCGCCGCCGCCTTCGACTTATCCATGTCTCACAGTGGTCGCGACCTCTTTTGGGAATGACACAGCGAGATTGAGGGAGTTTGTTGAAGGAGACGGTCGACTGAAATTGGGGGATGTTTGGGGGAGTTTTTGTTGTAATTTAAATAATAATTTGAGACTTATTTGTAATTTTAAAAGCTTATTAGATTGCACTTTAGGACAATTTTGCTCAATACAATATTTCATAATAATGATACATGAAGTGCAAAATACTGGTAAGAATAGGCACATTATAAAATCCCTTCTTAATATTTTTATACAAAAAATATAAAAAAATTAATAATTTTTATACAGTCTGGTTAAAAAATAAAGTCGACATCGAACTAAGAATTTAAAAGTAAGATCAGATAATCAAACCAATATATAAAGATTTGAACCTAAAATGTTAGATCGTGTGGTTTCGATTGCTAACGTGCAATCTGACATACATTAATGTGCAATTCATCTAACACTATTGTGCACGATTTTGATTGCTATTGTATATTATGTTCGAACTATTGTCACAAATCAAATTGAAATCCGAATTACTTGTTTTATTCGGTCGATTAACCGAATTACCCTAAATAATCAATAACTTATTATTTATATTATAAATATTTTAATAATTTTATTTATTTATATATATATATATATATAATTTTTAGTTGAATGACCATAATATAAAAAATACCGATATTGATAATGTGCTTATATAGTTGTATATTGTATATGGGCTACACCTGATTGCAGAAGAATAAACACTATTGTGCATTTAGTCTAACACTATTGTGCAGTCTATTGAGCGGGTATATTTTTTGTGCATCTCAATTTTAGAAACCTTTAATAATATTTATTTCAATTAACATTGTCATACATTTATTGAATTCTATATAAAATAAAAATATATTTAGTGTTTATAACTTTTTAGCTAATATTTATAATACTATTTGTTGATATATAATACTATTTGTTGATAATACTTAGATATTCACTTTAAAAATACCGTGATATTTATACAAAATTATAAAAATATCACCGCATGAAGAGTTTAGAATTCACATATCTACCAATAAGTTTATGAATTTTTTACATAAGGACATGCACATAAAAAAACCCGTCTTATTTTTATTACATTACATAATTGTCACCGACTCACATTTTAATGTTCACAAATTTACCAAAATGCCACCGCACTTAGGGTTGTTCATTGTCGGCTTGGTCGAACCATCCGACCAATCGAAGTGTAAAAAAATCAAAATAAATGGTTCTTTGAAAAAAAAACGAACCGACTGAATTATTTACATGAATAAAACCATGTCCGAACCAAAATAATCAGTTTATTTGGCCGATTAACAAATTTGGCCTAATTAATTGAAATAAATTATTTTTACATTATAATGATATTGTTTAGCATTTATTATTTTTATTATTATGTTATAGTATTTTTTTGCTAAGAAGATACAATATAGATGTAAATATAAAAAAAATATATTTTTATTTAGTTTGGTCAGTTCAGTTACTTCGATTAGCTTAAATATAAAGTCAAAATTGGATCGAATAATTATTTTAAAAGTAAAAACAAATATCCGAACTAACATATAAAAAATCGAACCGCAATTTTACTCCTATTGGTTTAGGGGGTTTTCTCGATTTTGGTCGAATTTTTACTCTCGCGATACAGAATGCACAAGAACGACAAATAAAAAACATGATAATGCATGTGAATATTCACAATAGCATAATGGTGTACTTTTGTTTCATGCTGGTTCATCTCACATGATACACTGTTACGATAATGTCGATTCTCGAAATCGTTAATGTGCATTTAACATAACACTATTGTGCATTTTTGTAGTATAAGTATTTTAATATGCATACCCGTACATATATCGTGCATTTTTCTTATTTTTTAATGTGTATTTATTAAATTTTTTTATAATACAAAGTACATATTTTACATGTGAATCAAATTACAATATAATAAAATTTATAGAATTGCACATAAGTCCTTGACATAATGACATTGTCTAATCTTCAAATGAGAGCCAAATCAACTGAAACGAGATCCCCTCCCTGCTCTCCTTTATGCATCGCCAGATCCAGTCGGCGCCTCGACCGGCCGCGATTGAATGGTACAATCTGAACGAGCGTTAATCGCTGAAATTCCGATGCCGGATCCAAATCCTCGCCCTTCGAAATTCGATCAATGTCTGCAGCAGGATATCATCTCCGCCGACGAGCCTATGGCGTCTCATCCTCCATCTCAGTCTGCTCGTCTCTCAAACGATCTGTTGTTGATTCAACCGTAATAGGAGGTGGCGACGAAGAATTTTGTACAGCCAATCATTAGATAGTTAGGGCAAAATATTTAGGCAGTGGCTAGTTTCATCTCGCCAGGCCCTTCCACTGCTGACCCTGTCGGCACCCTAGGCCAGAGACTTTAAATGGTGTCGTGTCGGTGTCGATCTCTGGTGAGGCTAAGGGGATGATGGAGGAGGTCGGGGCACAGGTAAAACAACGGCGGAGAAGTAAGTCGACGGCGGCGGGACCAGCGTGTGCAGGCGGCGGGACCTGTGTGTGCAGGCGGCGGACCGGCGATAGAGGGCGGCTGAGCAGACGACCCTTTGTGTGAGGATGTGTGTGTTCTGTGCGTGGTGTGTGTGTCCGTGGAAAAAAGTGTCTTATGTGTGTAAGAGAAGGTGGAGGGTGGGTGAGGTTTTGTTGGGCCCGCGGGTACTTAATTGATTGGGTATGATGTAATGACTGGTTTACCCTTAATGAGTGTGAAAATTGTACATTTTTTTAGCCATTGAATTATCCGATCTGATGGATATGATGTATTCTTATTTCTTTCATTGATGATCATTCTCATCGGAGCGCATCCTTATATATATATATATAGGGGACGGATCTAATGAGACCACTCCTTAAAATGAATACGTGACACTCAATCTTAGCCACTCATTTTGTCTAGATCAAAATCAAATAAAATATACATTAATTAAATAATAATATAATTATTAGTTGACTTCGGCGTTGACTGTTGACTTCCGGAGAAAATCGTTGACTTCCGGCGTTGACCGTTGACTTCCGGCGTTGACCTGTCACATTGAAATAAATAACCTAGCAACAAAAGACACTCAACCTTGAGTGGTGTAGTGCATTTTCCGTGAGGGGAACAGACCTGCCGACTATCTGGCCAGTCTTGGCGCCACCATACCAGACACACATACATTTCAGACCGACACTGCTCCACTCCGCCTTCACACTCTTGTACGGATGGACCAGCTTGAATATCCAGCGTTCCGCTTTCAGTAAGTTAGGATTTTTGCTTTCATTAGTATAGACATTTATTTCGGGCATCTGTTAGCCCGAAGATCGACTTTGTATTGTAGTTTTTGTTTCTTTTTCGTTTTTCGACTTTTCTTTTTTAGTTTTTCTTTTGTTTTTGATTTTGATTAGTGAGACTCTGTAGACTATTGTATCTTGCTCGTTGATATTTTGGGCCTCCGATTTTGAGGCCCTGATCTATGCACAGGTTGGGGATTCAGCCAATTCCCCCGCCCTTCCGGGGCGTTGTTTGTTTTAAAAAAAAAAAAAAAACCTTGAGTGGTGTAGTGGTTGCATTGTTTGTCTTGCTTCCATGAGGTACCAGGTTCAAATCCTATGTGTTACAATTTTTTTTATAAAAAAAAAATACAACTAACTTAGCAGCATCAGACAACTAACCTAGCAACAAAACACAACTAACTTAGCAACATCAGACAACTAACCTACCAACAAAACACAACTAACCTAGCACCAAGAAAGAACACAACTAACAAACACAACTAACTTAGCAGCATCAGACAACTAACCTACCAACAAAACACAACTAACCTAGCAGCAAGAAAGATGCTCTCTCTCTCTAGAAAAATTTCCTCTCCCTTCTCTCTAGAAAATGCTCACCCCGATTCAACCCATACTCAAAAATCAAAAAGTTTTCTGTCCAGTTTTTCAGTTTTCCGGCCAGCCGGCGCCGGCTTCGGCCGGCATCCGGTCATTCCTCCCCATCTCAGAAAAAAAAAACTCCAAAATCAAAAAATACAAACAATTACTTCACAGTTTTCTATCAATTTTCTCAACCATTTTCTTTAGTCTCGGTTAGATATGGCCTCTCCGGTCAACTTTCTGGCCAAAAGACAAGATCCGCCACTCTCTAAGCCGTCGGAGGTGGAATTTATCATGTCACAGCCGGAATTCCGAACGGCCATTTCAGCCTTGCTCGAAAAAATAAAATCCAAAAATACGGAAGAAGAACAGAAAAAAGTAGAAGAAGGAGAAGAAAAAAATAATATAGAAGAAGGAGAAATCATTGAAGTCTTGGAGAAAAGCCGAGTCACACAACAAGAAGAACAAGATAAAGTCGGAAAAAACTATGAGGAAAAGACGGCTCAATTTTTTGGTTCCTCCTCAGCCACTGAAAACGGGATCGCCGGCACACCATTTGCTACGCCTCAGATGACATCGGTTCCCCAAACCAGTGATATTTCGGGTCGGTTGGAGGGGTCAGCTGCAAATCTTTGTGAACCGCCACTTGTGTTTGGGTCCGTCAGGCTGGAGCCGAATTCTTGTTTTCCGGATAAGAAGATCGCCGCCTCCAGTCCTTCTATGCCGATGCCGATTGGTCATCTCGCCCCATCAATTGTTCTGCCCTTAGCTGATAGTCCCTTGGTAGGTTTAGACATAGTAAACGTGGCCACCTACCAGTCAAAAGATAATACTTTGCGCCACCATAACACCTTGGGCCAAAACCTCATTCCTGGGCCCAATTTTATATCACATCCTGTCCAAACATTTGGATTCTCTTCAGCCCATCCTACCCTCTCTTGTCAATCCAACCCTGCGGCCCAAAACCATACATCCCAACAGATTACACAGCCCACCCTCTCTCCACATTTGGGCCTCCCCCTCCAAGGACCTGGCCCGCTCCAGCCATCCACCACAGCCATCCAGCCATCCGCATTTGGGCATTTTCCTGAACAAAGAGAAGGTAAATTGGGCCAAATTTTATCTT